CCCTAAACCCTAAAAGAACCCTAATCCCTAAACCCTAAACGATCCCAAATCCCTAAACCCTAAAGTAAAGGAACCCTAAACCCTAATCCCTAAACCCTAAACCCTAAACCCTAAACCCTAAACCCTAAACAGGAACCCTAAACCCGCCTTCAGATCCAAATTACCGCCGAGTGGCGCGGTGCCCTGTTTTCGACAGACCAAACTTCGTCGGGCCTTGGTGTGGGGTTTGGTGCTTTTTCGGGCTTAGGGCTTAGGGGTTTAAGGTTTAGGGTCTAGGAGTTGGGTTTAGGGTGTAGGGCTTAGGGTTTAGGCTTTAGGGGTTGGGTTTTGGGTTTTAGAGTTTAGAGGCTTTGGGGATCCTTTGGCCTTCAGCTTGTTGAGGCCGTTTGAGGCTTTGGTGCATTTTGGGGCGGCGGATTTTTTGGGGGTCTAAGGGGCTTTCGGGCTTGGGGTTTTCGGTTGAGGATGTGGGGCTTAGAGATGCAGTTTCTCAGGTGCTCGGGTGTTGCTGTTAGGGTTTAGGGTTTAGGGCTTATAGAGTTTAGGGTTTAGGGTTTAGGTTTGCGACTTCAACATAATATCAAAAGCTCAGTGGGTTCAAGGCTTGAGTTCCAACAACATGCACGGCTCGAGGTTCAAATGCTCACATGGTTTAGCGCTACCCGCTTGCAGTTCTAGTCTACCTTAACCTACCAAAACCTACTTTTCTGTAGGGTCCCTATAAACTCCCTATTACGGTTTATAATAAGAACCTACAAAAAAGTAGGTTTTGGTAGGTTAAGGTAGGGTTCAAGTCTTAGGCGACAGGTTGAGGATGAGGGTCCAACCCACGATCCAGAACTATGAGACCTACGTAATGCCAACTGCGCCATGGTGGTTTTGAATTACCAATGTGCCCCATAGTAGTTCCTTTTTGGGATTACCCTATAGGATTCTATATCTGAACCCCAAAAAGGAACTACTTTAGGGCCTATGGGTATAGCGACTAAGAGATCAGGAGCGTGAGGTCTTAACACTTAGGAGTTTACACCACGTGTCCAAGCGGCTGCATACGGTAGTATTGACCAAAGGAAGTAGGCGGAAAGGGGGGGGGGGGGCACCTGCTGGCCCCGGAGACCTCAGAGCCCACTTATCTACGTAGTGGGCTTCCGCCCATGGTCCATTCACCTGCTGTGTGGGGTAACTGGGCTTGTAGGGGGTAGTATATCTGGATCCAGCGGGGTCTAGCGATTTGAGATTCAAGAGGCACCAAACCAAGGCTGGGATGAAGGCAAGTGGGGTAATCCCAGTCGAGGGTTCCCAACACATTTTCCAGAAAGACGCTAGCTCGGGTGGCCTAGAGCCCAAACCACTCGCTAAACCCTAGACCCTAAACGCCCAAACCCCTAAACCCCTAAACCCTAAACTCTAAACCCTAAACCCTAAACCCCAAACCCTAAACTCTAAACCCTAAACTCTAAACCCTAAACCCTAGACCATAAACCCTAAGCCCTAAACCCCCGCAAGCTTTGCAAGCCCGAGTGGCGGCAAAGGCTTGATTGCCGGGTCGGCCCTGGGACAGAAAGGGCTGAGGGGCTGCTGGTCACTATGTCTTATTTATTCATTATACGATTAGGGCTTTTAGGGTTTAGGGTTTAGGGCTTATGGCTTCTAGGCTTTAGGGTTGAGGGTTTAGGGCTTCTGGGGTTTAGGGTTTAGGGTTATACTATCCTTATTCTTACGATTATTATTACTAATATTATTACTACTACTATTCTTACTACTATGATTGCTTCTACTAGAACTATTATGAATTCTCATTATCACGATTTCTGGTATTGTTCATAGGTAACACAGGGGGTCCCTGCTGCTCTGACAGAAAGTCGGGACTCTAGGAATCCGAGCACTGTTGACACTATGGGCTACCTCAGCGGTTTAGGGTTTAGAGTTTAGGGATTAGGGTTTAGGGTTTAGGGTTTCGGTTTAGAGTTTAGGGTTGAGGGTTTAGGGTTTGGGACACACATACACACAGGCAGACATAAACGACATGACATGGTGGTGCGCTCTGCTTTCTCGCACCCGCCCATGGTATGCTGGCAAAACGAATCTCTGTGCCATGTAGGAGTTTCGGATAATGAAGGACCCGAACCGAATACAAACCCGAAACTTAAACCCCAAATTTGAAGCTCTGACACCCAAAACTCTCGAATCTACATCGTGACACGTGCGAAGCCTGAAACTCCAGAACCTTAAAGACCAACACACACACACACACAACCCTAAACCACAACCTAGTAGGATCCGTGGCAAAAAGATGATCAAAAGTCCTGTCCGAGCCCCAGGCGAAACATATCGTGGCATCGCCATCAGCATCTGGCCTGCCGCTCCACTGCAGAGAGGCCAAGTCAGGGTTTATGGTTACTTTTTAAGTGTGGTGGGCAGGGTTTATGGTTTAGCACCTATAGGGTTTAGAGATTTGCGGGGATCTGAGGACAGCATGGGCAACACAAGTGCCAATAAATATGATCGTCATGAGCGTTCCATCCGGCCCCGGTCGACTCAGCGTGTCTCGCGCGGCGAGTGCAGATTTCTCGTGCCCTCGCGTCACCCGGCTCCTTCGATAATGAACGCGAACTTGCCTGGACCGAGAGCGTTTATCATCTTGCCTAAACCCTATAGACCCTGAACCCTAAACCCTACACCCGAAAAACCGTAAACCCCTTTCGGTTGCAGGCTCAGGCAGAAGGTGTTCGACCTTGCGGTGGAAACTGGGGAGGTTTTATGGCTTTGGTCTTTGGGCCCTCCATGGATTGCAGTGGATTTCGCCTGCCTTCCGCAACCCGGCCTTTATCGCCCCGTGGGTAGAATTTGGGCAGGGGGGGGGGGGAGGTTATGGCAGAATCGAGTCTCATTGCAGGTAGGGTTTAGGGCTTAGGGGCCAAACACCCAACAGCCAACACCAAAGTCACCCTAAACTGCAAACCCCAAAGCCCGGAACCTAAAAGCTCCACAACGATCTGCAGTCCCAACCTTAAACCCAAGCTCACATCGCCTAAAACACGGCCGTGATCCTCTGCTATGTGGTGCTTCGCGGGTTCTTGTCTTGGAAGCAGCCCGGACCGTCGAATCAAGCCCGAAACCCTTCAACCCCCACCCCCCAAAACCTTGAACTACTAGGCCCAAAAGCAACTTCCCAAGTATACACAAAAAGGAGCTCGTAGCCCTCAAAGCCCTCATCGGATCAACCGTTTAAAGGAACCCGTAAAGGATCTTTAAAAGAGCCCTGAAAGGAACCCTTTAAAAGAATCCTTAAAGGAACCCCTGTAAGACTCGTACACCGGGGGACACCTCCCCTCTCGCGCTTCGTGAAGAAGTCCACCATGGCTGCAGCTAGCGGCCTGGGGGAGCAACTTGACCAGAAGACAGACTAGAGGCCTTCAGAATGAGAGGGTTTAGGGTTTAGGGTTTAGGGTTTAGGGTTTAGGGCTTTACTAGCATCCCGTTATAGGCTCTTTTAAACGGTTCTATGAGCATTTAGGGTCTAGCGCTTCGCAGGGCGGTACAGTATATTTCAGAAAACCTTCAAATGCGAATGGTGCAGAATCAAGGCTTTCGGACTAATATAGTATCAGCTTAGGGTACAGAGTTGATATAACCCTAAACCCTAAACCCCAAAACCCTAAACCCTAAACCCTAAACCCTAAACCCTAAAACTCTTGTTGAAGATTGAAGGCTCACGGCGCCTTCAGTCAGAGCTTGGAAGAAGCGCAGCTACAGACTATGTTCAAGGCAGGTACCACTGGCCCAACACAGTCTTGCGGAGTCTCGAATTCGGCGATGTACCTACGAATGCACCCACGTGCTCACGACAGCCTAAATAAGGCACCGGGAGGATCGGGACCAACTGAACCGTGAAACCATGTAAAACCTGAAATCCCAACCCCAAACCCGTCGCTTAAATGCAAAACCTCTCAACCCCAAACCCAAGCCCTGAGCCCTCGACTCAAACTCTTGATGAACCCCAAATCCGAACTGACCAGCTCAATCGCGAGGCACCACTCGCGCTTCTTTTTGAAAAAGTCTGGCCAGCTGGAGCGGTTGATATCAAGTCTCTGCCTAGTCTAAGAACTGAATGGACAGCCCGCCGTCCACCGTCGTGAACTTTCTGTTCACTTCTCTGCGGACTTTGGCATTCACGCTCACGTAAACAACCGGCACTTGAGGGCACCTGGCCGTCTTGAAGGCCCATGACCTTCTGTTGTCTAGGGAATGCCATTGGCCGTCACGCTCGAACAGGCGGATTGGTTCGATGTCGAATGCGGAAACTTCTCTTCCCGACAGCTGTCGCGCAGTGCCTTTTACGCTTCGGCCATCTTGAAAATGTCGTGATATAAGAGCCTGGCTGTATCGGATTGTCCGCGCGTCTTCGGTTGCTTCGAAATTAAGCCTGCCGGGCTGGTGAACCTCAATGATAAGCATTGTGTACTCTGCTAGGCTTCCACTTCTTCCAAATGTTTTCGCCACCTGCTCGCGGTTGTCGGAAAAGGTGATCGAGCGGACCTCGTTCTGGCCCCTGAAGCAATACTCTATATGTTCGCAAAGGAATGCAAGAAATAGATGCATTGCGGAATAAATGGAGCATGGCATGCTGGGCATACAATCCTCCGCCTGGCCATATCCTCATTAAGGCGATGGGTGCCCCATCCCATGTTGCATAGCGTGAGTCCGCCGGCGCCTGCCGCATGAGATTCACAACCCCGGGATGTACAGGTACCGGCATAGGACATGCCAGGAGCTATTGCCTCCCACCATCTGTTCCGGTTGCCCACAGAAAGACGAACTTCTCGCTGGACTCTCACATCAGGGCCTTCGAAAGCGATGACGGAAGCCGGTGGAGATGCAGCTTGGTCTGTCATGGCCTGCGAAGGTGCTGCGGAACGAGTTGACTAATCTGCCAGGACAGAAACATTCTATGGCCAGCAGGCTTGGGCATGATAAACAACGGATTGCGCTTACCTTCCCAAGACTTGTCATCGATGACACACGCCTAACTTGAATCGTCTTATCCGCTGGAGTTCCGATGATTTGATAAACCCCTAAACCCTAAATCCAGAGGCCAAAACAACCTGTCCGAAAACTTCAATTCTAAACCCTAAACCCTATATAAACCCCTAAACCCTAAACCCTAACTTCAATCAAGCGCTGACGCATGCGCCTTTGCAGTTTTATGGGACACCATCTGACTCATCCTTGCCCATCAGAAAGCTTCCTAGCTTCTCGAAGGCGAGAGAGTGATGGAATAATGCAGGGGCCTAAACAATGAGAATTGGGTTTTGGGGTACAATCCACTATGATTGACCAGAACCTACTATTTTGTAGGCTCCCTAGCAAATCCACATCAGGGCTGATAATAAGGACCTACAAAAAGCAGGTTTTGGTGGGCTAAGGTATATCATCGGATAGATAACAATCAAGACCCCGGCTTCGCAATGTAGAGGAAGTACGTGGGCAGCTGCGCTCCCATGTGCACAGGGCACCTGGAGGAGGGCTTTAACCCTAAACCCTAAGCC